TGACACACTCTGGACCTGGCAGCAGCAAGAGGAGGCGGTACAGGGGCCCATGGCAGAGTGGCGAAGCGTAAGCAGCTTAAATTGAAGGCCATACAGAGGCCTATGTTAAAAAGTCCCCCCAGCAGCAGTGTGGGGAGACGACTATCAAGAGTCCAATGGCAGAGTGGCGGAGCAGAAGCAGCTTCAATTGAAGGCCATACACAGGCCTAGGTTAAAAAGTCCCCCCAGCAGCAGCGTGGGGAGACGACTATCAAGAGTCCAATGGCAGAGTGGCGGAGCGGAAGCAGCTTCAATTGAAGGCCATACACAGGCCTAGGTTAAAAAGTCCCCCCAGCAGCAGTGTGGGGAGACGACTATCAAGAGTCCAATGGCTGAGTGGCGATCCGGGAAGTCAGCGTTGTGATTGCAGATGCAATGCAGAAATTCTACGAAGTAATGCCGTGGGTGCGAAGAAGATCATATACCGTCGTACTTCCATCCATAAGACGGAACAACCTGCGAACCGGGAGCTTTATTGCCCTGACCCGCTGAGCAGCTTCTGGGATACCCAAGAGGCCCATGGCAGAGTGGCGGAGCGTAAGCAGCTTCAATTAAAGGCCATACAGAGGCCTATGTTAAAAAGTCCCCCCAGCAGCAGCGTGGGGAGACGACTATCAAGAGTCCAATGGCAGAGTGGCGGAGCGGAAGCAGCTTCAATTGAAGGCCATACACAGGCCTAGGTTAAAAAGTCCCCCCAGCAGCAGTGTGGGGAGATGACTATCAAGAGTCCAATGGCTGAGTGGCGATCCGGGAAGTCAGCGTTGTGATTGCAGATGCAATGCAGAGATTCTATGAGGTGATGCCATGGGTGCGAAGAAGATCATATACCGTCGTACTTCCATCCATAACACGGAACAACCTGCGAACCGGGAGATTTATTGCCCTGACCCGCTGAGCAGGGTCACACACAGGTCTGTCTCTCTTGAATGACCGGAGGCTAATGGAGAATTCTAAGATGGCCGCGATTTATAGCTCCACCATTACACAGTGCTGGCTGGCTGCTGATTGGCTAATGCGATCACATGTCATGAATGCATTATGGGTCAGCGCGCCTTGTCTGCGCGCCTTCCCAGAGATCCCCGCCCCATCTTCTCTGTCCATTTTCTCCGTCGCCACACATGTCGCCGCCATTTTTGGGAAAATTCGATTCGTGCATCCGAAGTTTGCTAATCTTCGGATTCGTCGCGAATAGAATTTTTCCAAATCTTCGGAACGAATTCCACTTCGTCATGTTCGATTCGCTCATCTCTACTGTTGACCATCCCCTCCTCCTCAAAAAACTCCACTCTCTTGGCCTCCGAGACTCTGCTCTCTCCTGGTTCTCCTCTTATTTATCGCAGCGCTCCTTCATTGTTACCTATAACTATGTCTGCTCCTCTCCCTCTTTCAGTAGGCGTCCCTCAAGGTTCTGTCCTTGGACCCCTTCTCTTCTCCATCTACACCTCCTCCCTTGGTCACTTGATAAACTCCCATGGCTTTAACTACCATCTCTATGCTGATGACACACAAATCTATCTTTCTACTCCTCACCTCACCCCTTCAGTCTCCTCTTGCATTACTAACCTACTAAGTGACAAATTGGCATGGATGTCACTCCACTTCCTCAAACTCAATCTTTCCAAAACTGAGCTCTTAGTATTCCCCCCAGCCCGTGCCCCCTCCCCTGGCCTCTCCATCAATAATACAACCATCAGTCCCTCCCCTCATGCTAGGGTGCTCGGTGTAATACTGGACTCCCATCTTTCCTTTCAGCCCCAAATCCAAACGCTGTACAAATCTTGTAGACTTCACCTCCGCAACATCTCCAAGATTAACCTTGGAAACTACTAAACAACTTATTCACTCCCTTGTTATCTCTCACCTTGACTATTGTAACTCCCTCCTCAATGGCCTACCTCATCACACAGGCTATCCCCTCTTCAGTCTATCATGAATGCTGCTGCCAGACTCATCTACCTTACTAACCGTTCTGTATCTGCCACCCCTCTCTGCCAATCCCTCCACTGGCTTCCCATTGCCCAAAAAATTAAATTCAAAACATTAACAAAAACGTATAAACCAATTAATAATTGTGCCCCAAATTACATCACCGATCTTGTCTCTAAATCTGTCCTCTCCGCTCCTATCACAACCTCCTGCTCTCTAGCTCCCTTGTCTCCTCCTCCTCCGATGCTCGTCTCCAGGACTTCTCCAGAGCCTCCCCCATCCTCTGGAACTTTCTACCCCAATCTATCAGACTAAAGCCAACTCTACTCACTTTTAGGCGATCTCTGAAAACCTATCTCTTCAGGGAAGCCTATCCTGCCTTCAGCTAATAATGGAATCTTCTATTTCTACCAGTCCACCCCCCACAGTTATTAGCTTTTGTACCACTAGCCCCTCCCTCTTAGATTGTAAGCTCCAAGGAGCAGGGCCCTCCTAACCCTCTTGTATTGAACTGTATCATTGCTGTATTGTCTCCTGTTATATTGTAAAGCGCTGAACAAACTGTTGACGCCATATAAATCCTGTATAATAATAATCTATACATTTTTTTCATGTTTAGCCCTCCCTGCCGCTTCGTACAGTATATGTGGAGGTGGGCTGTAACGCCATGCTGCCACATACAGGTATATGCGTACAGCCAGCATCCCTGTTCTGTGCCATAAGAGCGCCCAGGTGTTGCACTTTGACTGTGCTGTCATTGGCAGCTTTACGACCTGAAGGTGGTACTATCGTGAGGGCGCCTTGGACAGTCCTATCTGTTTACAGTAACAGTCAAACTATCTTATACCCTCTACTATCAAACCTGCCCCGCAGGCCAGAGTACTTGGTGTCATTCTGGACTCCAACCTATCCTTCCAGCCCCAAGTCCAATCTTTAACAAACTCGTGCAGACTCCACCTCCGCAACATCGCCAAAATCGCACGTTCCTAACCCCAGAAACCACTAAACAGCTCATCCACTCCCTCATCATATCACGACTCGACTACTGCAACTCCCTCCTCACTGGCCTGCCTCGCCGCTGGCTATCCCCGCTGCAGTCGATCCTGAATACGGCTGCCAGACTCATTCACCTTTCCAACCGCTCCATCTCCGCCACCCCCCTCTGCCAATCCCTCCACTGGCTTCCGATTGCGCAACGGATCAAATTCAAAATCCTAACGCTGACCTACAACACTCTCCACCATACTGCCCCGAACTACATCACTGACCTAATATCCAAGTACCGCCCAGCACACACACTCCGCTCCTCACAAGACCTCCTTCTCTCTAGTTACCTGGTCTCCTCTTCCCATGCCCGCCTCCAGGACTTCTCCAGGGTGTCACCCATCCTCTGGAACTCCCTGCCCCAACCCATCAGATTATCACCTACTCTCCTCTCCTTTAGGCACACCCTGAAAACCCACCTCTTCAGGGAAGCCTACCCCACCCCCTGCTAACTTGCCAACCTCCTCCACTCTTCCAACCACTCCATCCCCCACAGCTATCTCCTCCTGTACCACTATCCCCTCCCTCCTAGATTGTAAGCTTGAAAGAGCAGGGCCCTCAATCCTCTCATGTTTTGCATTGTATTGTTATTGTTCTGTCACATGTTCTGTCCCCCTTTGTAATGTACAGCACTGAGCGAACTATTGGCACTTTATAAATACTGTATAATAATAATAATAATAATAATACCCTACAACAGTGTACAGTGAAAAATAACTTGTCACATATTGTTGAAAAATTGTAATATGTGAAAACTCCTGTCTCAGACTGAAACTGAAAGTAGGTGAAACGCATCAGTAGAGATCAAAAGTATGAATATTATAAGCTGCACTCCAGAACCTATCTCTACTTTCTGAATTTTTATTTTGCTAAAAATGACTGCATACACTGATGTCTCCAATTGAAACCAAACCCCTTTGACGCGTTTCACCACTGTGAACCCGACAGCCAACTGAAGAAGCGTCCATATGGCAGGCTTAGCGTTGCCAGCCTACAAAAGGAAACAATGGTTCTGGCAGGATCTCTACATAAGAAACTTTGCAGTAGATTCACAAAAATGTGATATTAACCGCTTCCCATCCGCCCTATAGCAGAAATACCTCTACAGGGTGGCACGGGTGCGAGTCATCACAGGTCCCATCCGGTGATTACTCGCCGGCGCAACAGCAAAAAGGGTCAGCCGCACACCGAAGGATAGATGATAGTGTATATTTATTGATCCATAGGACACACAAAACACCAGGACATGAATACAGGGGCTGTTAACGCGTTTCACATGATCTTGTACTTAATCACAGGATTACTTGCCGGAGCCCAGTGATTTCCGATGATTTCCAATGGGGAGGAGAACTGTTTTGTTTACTAACAGTTCTCCTCCCTGTCAGCTCAGGCACACTGCTTTGGATGGCCATAATGTGGTATTTTCCTGATTGAGGTATTTCTGGAAAAATACCATATTATGGCCACTAGATGGACCTGACGATCATAGGAAGTCAACTTATTAGGCAAAATATGGTCAGATTTTTTTTATAAACTGACACTTTTAAATTGTGTTTCTTGAGTTCAACTTTAACCCCTTGCCTACTGGACACGTTCACCTCCTTCCTGCCCAGGCCAATTTTCAGCTTTCAGTGCTGTCGCACTTTGAATGATAATTGCGCGGTCATGCAACACTGTACTCAAATGAAATTGTATAATTTTTTTGAGACAGATAGAGCTTTCTTTTGGTGGTATTTAATCAACACTGGGTTTTTTTATTTTTTGCTAAACAAACTAAAAATTACTGAAAATTTGGGGGAAAAAAAGTTTTTTTCTTAGTTTCTGTTACAAAATTTGTAAATAAGTAATTTTTCTCCTTCACTGATGTGCGCTAATGAGGCTTCAGTGATGGGCACTGATAGGCAGCACTGTTGAGGAGGCACTGATAGGTGGTACTGATGGGCATTGACAGGCATCACTGATGGACACTGAAAGGCAGCACTCATATATGGCACTGATTGGAACTGTTATGTGGCACTGACGGGCACTAATAGGCAGTACTGATGGGCACTGGTAGGCGGCACTGATGGGCACTGATAGGCTGCACTGACGGGCACTAATAGGCGGCACTGATTGGTGACTCTGATGGGCACTGATATGTGGCTTTGATGTGCACTAATGGGCGCTGATATGTGGCATTGATGGGCACTTAAAGGTGACACTGATGGGCACTGACAGGTGGCACTGATGGGGCTACACTGATCATTAATGCCCTGATGATTAGTGTAGATGTCCCTTCTGAGGAATGCCGATTACCGGGCTCTCCTTTCCTCACGCGCTGTCAGCATGAAGAGAGTACTGCCGATAACCGGCATTTCCTGTTTACATGTGATCAGCTGTGATTGGACACAGCTGATCACATGACAGAGTCAACGTCATCAGCTCTTTACTGTGATCGGTGATCCGCTGTGTCTCAGGAACACAGCACACCACAGCGCCCCCGGGGACATGCATGGAGTGGGAGGATGCCATTTGATGTCCTCCCAGAATGAGAGAGCTGCCCCTGCCCATCATTTCCTTATATGGCGGGCGGGAGGCGGTTAAAAAATGGCTGCCCTCAATTTGTGAGACCACACATCAAGGTTACCCCCTTTATCTTGTACCTTTAACAACTAAGTCCAGCTTAGCTCCATCTAGTGGCCATAATGTGTTTTTTTCCTGATAGAGGTATTTCAGGAAAAATACGGTACTATGACCACTAGATGGAGCTGATGATCATAGGAAATCAACATATTAAGCAAAATATGGTCAGAATTTTTTATAAACTGATCCTTTTATTTGTGTCTCTTGAGTTCATCGTTAAAAATGGCCGTGCTCAATTTGTGAGAACACACATCAGGGTTACGCCCTCTATCTTGTACCTTTAACAACTAAGTCCAGCTCAGCTCCAACTAGTGACCATGATGTGGTATTTTCCTGACTGAGGTATTTCTGAAAAAAAATTCATATTATGGCCAGTAGATGGCACTGACGATCATAGGAAGTTATTGTATTAGGCAAAATAGGTCAGATTTTTTGATAAACTGACACTTGTAATTTGCATCTCTTGAGTTCAATGTTAACAATAGCTGCCTTCAATTTGTGAGAGCACACATCAGGATTACCTTCTTTATCCTGTACCTTTAACAACTAAGTCCAGCTCAGCTCCATCTACTGGCCATAATGTGTTTTTTTCCTGATAGAATTATTTCAGGAAAAATACCGTACTATGACCACTAGATGGAGCTGATGATCATAGAAAATCAACATATTAGGCAAAATATGGTCAGAATTTTTTATAAACTGATCCTTTTATTTGTGTTTCTTGAGTTCATCTTTAAAAATGGCCGCCCTCAATTTGTGAGAACACACATCAGGGTTACGCCCTCTATCTTGTACCTTTAACAACTAAGTCCAGCTCAGCTCCAACTAGTGACCATGATGTGGTATTTTCCTGACTGAGGTATTTCTGAAAAAAATCCATATTATGGCCACTAGATGGCACTGACGATCATAGGAAGTTACTGTATTAGGCAAAATACGGTCAGATTTTTTGATAAACTGACACTTGTAATTTGCGTCTCTTGAGTTCAATGTTAACAATAGCTGCCTTCAATTTGTGAGAGCACACATCAGGATTACCTTCTTTATCTTGTACCTTTAACAACTAAGTCCAGCTCAGCTCCATCTACTGGCCATAATGTGGTATTTTCCTGGTTGAGGTATTTCTGGAAAAATTCCATATTATGGCCAGTAGATGGCGCTGATGATCATAGGAAGTCAACCTATTAGGCAAAATACAGTCAGAATTTTTTATAAACTGACCCTTTTAATTTGTGTCTCTTTAGTTCAGCTTTAAAAATGGCTGCCTTTAATTTGTGAGAACACACATCAGGGTTACCCCCTTTATCTTGTACCTCTAACAACTGGGGCCAGCACAAGACGACCACCCAAACCACTCAGAACGAACTATGAAATAGCTCTTCACCAGGACGAGCTGTATGAATTCCCGGCGTTAGAAAATCTCTGAGATCGGCGACTTGCATGGCTCTCCTGAGAAGAATCCCATTATACAATGAATCTATTTTCCCCGCCACCGACCCGTCTCCGAGAACATAAGCGTACAGCTCCGATGAAACAAATAAATTCCATTCAATGAGCCTATTAAAGTAACACTTGAGCGGTGTGACGGCGGGGAGGTCACGGCCCCTGGTAAATACAATATAAACACTAGCTCTCCGGTGAATTAGCCGAGTGAACAATATTAAGCTGGCGCGGCAGAAGGCATTAAAATAAAATAAAAAAAAAATACGGACAGGAGAGTGGCGGCTCTGTTCTGCCGAATCGCCCAGAAAATTCGACCTGTTTATTTAAACTCGGCTCGATGAAGGTACGTAAACAATGGAAACTCTTCGAGGATATTTTCCTAAAGATCCCCCTTTTTTTATCATCGGTCTCCTAATACTGTGCGTATCATTGAATGAACGCTCTATGCTTCCTTCTAGCTGCCATTCTGATGAAGTGGAGGCTGTGGACTACAGTGGCGGATTGTTCCTGCTTCTTCCTATGATATTACTCTTGTCCCGGGGTCAGGATGTAGGATGCAGATTCTGATACAAACACATGGCACAAGGCTTCATTCACACCGCACTCTTTTATTTCATACAAGGGGGAAATGTGAAACACGGAGGAAGAGTATGGAAGGGCTTACTGACAACGCCAATGAACCTTTTTATTGCAAATGACACAAAGTAACATTTGGCTGTACTGTATAAGAATGAATAATGAATGCGATTTAAAGGGTAGCTCCACTATTGTTGAGAAAAAAAAACATTCCCTTCTGGGTGATCTATGTACTTTTCAAGGATTTTAACAAACTTTTGTTGCAGATTCCTACCTTTTGTTATTCTGAGTAGCTGTGTTTGTTTGTCTGTGTCCATTGCAGAGTGAATCTGTATGGGATTGACTTTAACCACTTGCACTCCAGAGGATTCACCCCCCTTCCTGACCAGGCCGCAGTTTGCGATACGGCGCTGCATTATTTAATTGACAATTGCGCCATCATGCAACGCTGCACCCAAATGAAATTTACGTCCTTTTTTTTCCCACAAATAGAGCTTTCTTTCGGTGGTGTTTGTTCGCCTGTGCGTTTTTAATTTTCTGCGCTATAAACAAAAAAAGACCAACTATTATTGAGAAAAAAAAACATTCCCCTCTGGGTGATCTATGTATGTTTCAAGGATTTTAACCGCCTCCCGCCTGCCATATAAGGTAATGACGGGCGCAAGGCTGGTTCTCTTGTTCTGGGAGGACGTCATATGACGTCCTCCCACCCTAACCGCGCGTGCGCGGATCCAGGGGCGCGTAGCACAGCAGATCACCAATCCACGGAAAGAGCCAAAGATGTCAGCTCCGTCATGTGATCAGCTGTGTCCAATCACAGCTGATCACATGTAAATAGGAAAATGCCGGTTATCGGCATTTCTCACCTCACAAGCTGTCACGCTGACAGCTCATGAGAAGAGGAGAGCCGATAATCGGCATTCCTCAGAGGGGACATCTACACTGATCATCAGGGCACTGATGATCAGTGTGCCCTGATGATCAGTGTAGCCCCAGCAGTGCCACCTGTCAGTGTCCATCAATGCCAGCTGTCAGTGCTCATCAATGCCACCTGCCAGTGCCCATCAATGCCACATATCAGTGCCTACCAGTGCACATAAATGCTACATATCAGTGCCCATCTGAGCTGCCTTTCAGTGTCACCTATCAGTGCCAGTCAGTGCCACCTATCAATGCCAGTCAGTGCCACCTATCAGTGCTGTCAATCAGTGCCACCTAACAGTGCCAGTCAGTGTCACCTATCAGTGCGCATCAGTGCTGCCTATCAGTGCATCCTAACAGTGCCAGTCAGTGCCACCTAACAGTGCCAGTCAGTGCTGCCTATCAGTGCCGCCTATCAGTGCCATATATGAGTGCTGCCTTTCAGTGCCCATCAGTGATGCCTGTCAATGTCCATCAGTGCCACCTACCAGTGCCTCATCAGTGCAGCCTATCAGTGCCCATCACTGATGCCTCCTTAGCGCACATCAGTGAAGGAGAAAAATCACTTATTTACAAACTTTTATAACAAAAACTAAGAAAAAACGTTTTTTCTTTCAAAATTTTCAGTTGCTTTTGGTTTGTTTAGCAAAAAATAAAAAATCCAGAGGTGATTAAATACCACCAAAAGAAAGCTCTATGTGTCTCAAAAAAAATTATAAAAATTTCATATGGGTACAGTGTTGCATGACCGCGCAATTGTCATTCAAATTGTGACAGTGCTGAAAGTTGAAAATTGGCCTGGGCAGGAAGGGGGTATAAGTGCCCTGTAGGCTTGTGGTAAACAAACTTTTGTTGCAGATTCCTGCCTTTTGTTATTCTGAGTAGCTGTTTGTTTGTCTGTGTCCATGTGCAAAGTGAATCTGTATGGGAGTGACTTTAATCACGTGCCCTCCAGAGGATTCACCCCCCTTCCTGACCAGGCCCTTTTTTGCGATACGGCATTGCATTATTTTAATTGACAATTGCGTGGTCATGCAACGCTGCGCCCAAATGAAATTTACATCCTTTTTTTTCCACAAACAGACCTTTCTTTTGGTGGTATTTGTTCACCTGTGCGGTTTTTATTTTTTGCGCTATAAACAAAAAAAGACCGACAATTTTGAGAAAAAAACTACATTTTTGACTTTTGCAATTAAACATGTCCAATAAAAAAAATCAAATTTCGTCATAAATTTAGGCCAAAATGTATTCTGCGCCATGTCTTTGCTTAAAAAAATCCCAATACGTGTAAATTAATTGGTTTACGTTAAAGTTATAGCGTTTACAAATGGCGGTATAGATAATGGGATTTTTTTTTTAAACTAGTAATGGCAGCGAATAGCGGCTTATAGCAGGACTGTGAAACTGCAGCGGGCATTCTGACTTTGTTTTAGTGACATCCCCAGTGACACCAATACAGTGATCAGTGCTAATAAAAAGCACTGACACTGTACTAATGGCGCTGGGCAGGAAGGGTTGAACATCTGGGACGATCAAAGGGTTAACTGTGTGTTGTTTTACTGTAAGGCTGTGCGTGTGTTTCACTGTAAGGAGGAGGAGCTGACAGGGGAGAGATCTGTATTGTTTATACACAGGTCTATCCCCCGTCGGAGATACTTGGCAATCACCGGGTGCCGGTGAGAAATCACTGGCTGGGATCCAGTGATTGACAGCCGAGGCAGCAAATAGTGGTGTGGGTAGGGTGTGTGTGCGGTGCGCGCGCCCCCTACCCTGAGCTGTAAAATCACGTATATATATACGTGATTTTGCGCACCCGTGCCGCCCTGTACCAGTATTTCTTCTATAGGGTGGCGTGGAAGCGGTTAAAATGATCAATCAGCTGCTGCTCCTGCAGGGTTCTAATGAGGAAAGTGGCTGCATCCCTTTAGCTCTGATTAACCCTTTGGGAGTATCTCCCCAAAACTGAAATGTTTGTTGCAGAGAATGCGAGGATACCCAAAATCTGATTTGTATTTTAGTGCAGACTTCTGGGA